ATGTGGCGCCAGCAGCCCCCGCCCCACACCCCCCATCTGCACTGGGGCTCTGTGGTGCCCCCAATTCCCCACAGAGCCCCAGCCTGGCCCCTGGAGCCCTTACCCTGAGGGCCTGGTAGGCGCTGAGCACCGGGGTGATCTTGTGGCTGGTGTGGGTGCGGCGCACGCGGCACAGCTGGCACACCAGCCGCTGGCAGGTCTTGCAGTAGTGAGTCACCTCCTCCTTGTGCTCCGGGCACATCAGCCCCTGCGGGCACAGCGGGGCTCAGCGGGGCTCTGCACCCCCTCCGCCCCTGCAGAGTCCCAGCCCTGCATCCCCAGATCTCAGAATCACAGAATGGCTGGGGCTGGAAGGGGACCTGGAAGATCATCTTGTTCTAACCCACCTGACATGAGCAGGGACATCCTCAACCAGACCCCATTGCTCAGAGCCCCACCTTGGCCTTGAACACTTCCAGGGCACCTTGTTCCAGGACCACACCACTCTCACTACAAGAATTTTTTCCTAATATCTAACCTAAACTTATTCTCTTTCAATCTGAACCCATTGCCCTTTGTCCTGTCATTCCAGACTCTTGTAAACAGTCTTCCCCCATCCTTTCAAAAGTTCCCTTCAGACACCAGAAGGCCACAATTTGGTAACCCCAAAGCTTCTCCTCTCCAGGCTGAACAATCCCAACTCCCTCAGCCTTAATCAGGAGGATTAATGTGGGCAGGAGGACCCACCTTGGGGCGGAAGGTGAGGGTGGGGGGCGTGGGCTCATGCTGGGCTTTCTGCGTGCCCCAGGGGTGGTAGAGCTTGAAGCACTCATTGCAGAAGCTGGACTTGCACTCCGTGCAGCCCTTGGTGGCCTCCAGCTGTGGGGGCTTGCAGAACTGGCACATGATGGCCGCGCTGATGTTGATGGTCTGCCGGTAGCGCTCCACCACGCGCTCCAGGGTCAGGTTGCGGAAGAGGCTGCCCAGGCCCCGCTCGCCCAGGTCCACGTCCCGCTGGCAGGCGGGGCACGGGAAGCTGACGGTCTGGGGGTGCACGGCGCCCCGCTTGCGCCCTGGGTAGGTGCCGAAGCCTGTGGGAGGGAGGCGGGGATGGGGGTCAGCAGGACAAAAAGCCCCATCCCCACCTCCATCCCTTCCTGTTGTCCTTGCTCCCAACCCCTCCGGCCATCCCTGTCCCCGTCCTCTCCAGCCATCCTCATCCCCTCTGCTGTTGTTATTCCCTCTGCTATGCTCTCCAGCCATTCACCTCCCCTCCATCCATCCCTGTCTCCTCCAGCCATCCCTGTCCTCCAGCCATCTCTGTCCCCTCCAGCTGTCTCAAACCCCTCCAGCCATCCCTGTCCCCATCCCCTCTGGCTACCTCAAACCCCTCCAGCCACCCCTTTCTCTTCATCCATCCCTGTTCCCTCCAGCCATCTCTGTTCTCATCCTCTCCAGCCATTCACCTCCCCTCCACCCATCCCCGTTCCTCCAGCCATCCCTGTCCTCATCTGCTCCAGCCACCCCTGTCCTCTTCAGTCATCCCTGTCCCCTCCAGCCATCCCCCTCTTCTCCAGCCATCTCTGTCCCCTCCAGCTGTCTCAAACCCCTCCAGCCATCCCTGTCCCCATCCCCTCTGGCTACCTCAAACCCCTCCAGCCACCCCTTTCTCTTCATCCATCCCTGTTCCCTCCAGCCATCTCTGTTCTCATCCTCTCCAGCCATCTCTGTCCCCATCTCCTCCAACCATCCTCCTCTCCTCCAGCTGTCCCCATCCCCTCTGGCTGTCCCAAACCCCTCCAGCCATCCCTGTGCCCATCCCCTCCAGCTGCCCCAAACCTCTCCAGCCACCCCTGTCTTCTCCAGCCACCCCATTCTCTCCATCCATCCCTGTTCCCTCCAGCCATCTCTGTTCTCATCTGCTCCAGCCACCCCTGTCCTCTTCAGTCATCCCTGTCCCCTCCAGCCACCCCTGTCCTCTCCAGCCCCGTCCCCATCTCCTCCAACCAGCCACCCCTCTCCTCCAGCCATCTCTGTCCCCTCCAGCTGTTCCCATCCCCTCTGGCTGTCCCAAACCCCTCCATCCACCCCTGTCCCCATCCCCTCAGCCACCCCTGCTGTCTCCAGCCATCGCTGTCCCCCTCTTGCCCTGTCCCTCCTGGCAGCCCCTCCAGCCCCACCTGACTTGAGGAGGCGGTCCAGCCGGTCGGGTTTGGGGACAGCCCTGCGGCCCAGGCGGGGGCTGCGGGTGGAGGGGGTGGCCGCAGGCGAGGTGGGCTCGGAGGTGGGGTCGCAGTACAGGTGGCCGTGCTGCAGCAGCACCTCGCTGGCACACACGTGGCACACGTTGTGGGTACAGGGCAGTGCCAGCGGCTGCTTGTACATCTCCTTGCACACCGGGCACACCAGCTCCCGCTCCATGTTCTTCATGCTGGTCTGCGGAGAGAGCGGGAGCGTCACCCGCTGAGAACCAGATGGGGCCAGCACCAGGGCCAGGATCTGGGCCAGGGTCAGGATCAGCATCAGGGACAGGATCAACATCAGGGACAGGATCAACATCAGGCCTGAGATCAGCACCGGGGCCAGGATTAGGGCCAGGATCAGCACCAGGGCCAGGACCAGCATCAGGGTAAGGATCAGCACCAGGGCTGAGATCAGCACCAGGGCTGAGATCAGCACCAGAGCCAGGATCTGGGCCAGGGCCAGGATCAACATCAGGGACAGGATCAACACCAGGGCTGAGATCAGCACCAGGGACAGGATAAACATCAGGCCTGAGATCAGCACCGGGGCCAGGATTAGGGCCAGGATCAGCACCAGGGCTGAGATCAGCACCAGGGCTGAGATCTGCACCAGAGCCAGGATCTGGGCCAGGGCCAGGATCAACATCAGGGACAGGATCAGCATCAGGGACAGGATCAACATCAGGGACAGGATAAACATCAGGCCTGAGATCAGCACCGGGGCCAGGATTAGGGCCAGGATCAGCACCAGGGCTGAGATCAGCACCAGGGCTGAGATCTGCACCAGAGCCAGGATCTGGGCCAGGGCCAGGATCAACATCAGGGACAGGATCAACACCAGGGCTGAGATCAGCACCAGGACCAGCACCAGGGCCAGGACCAACATCAGGGTCAGGAGCAGCATCAGGGCTGAGATCAGGGCCTGGGACCAGCACTAGGGCCAGGGCCAGGAGCAGCACCAGGATCAACATCAGGCCTGAGATCAGCACCGGGGCCAGGATTAGGGCCAGGATCAGCACCAGGGCCAGGACCAGCATCAGGGCAAGGATCACTTTCATGGCTGGGATCATGGCCTGGGACCAGCACCTGGGCCAGAATCAGCATCAGGGACGGGTTAAGCACCAGTATCACAGCTGGGACTGGCACCAGGGCCTGGAATTAACAACAGGGCCAGGATCAGCACCAGGACCAGGATCAGGACCAGTACTGGGACCTGGGCTGGGATGGAGACAAGGACTGGGACCATCATCAGGGCAATGATGGGGCCTGGGACCAGCACCAGGGATGGCATGAGGACAAACAGCAGGACCAGCAGCAGGATGAGGATCAGGGCTGCCACTGCGATGAGGAATGGAGCTGGGATCAGCAGCTGGGCCAGGATCAGGCCTGGGAGCAGTCTGAGGAATGCCAGGGCCAGCACCAGGATGAAGCCCAGGGCTGGACTGGGGATGGGAACTGGGGCCACAGCAGGACCAGGACTGGGGTCAGCACTGGCAGCAGGACCAGCATCATGGTCAGGATCAGGCCTGGGAGCAGCACCAGAACCAGGACCAGTATCAGGAGCAGGGATGGGGGGATGATGAGGACAGAGACCAGCATCATGGTCAGGATCAGGCCTGGGAGCAGCAGCATGGTCAGAACCAGGATCAGGACTGCGATCAGAACCTGGATGGGACCCAGGCCTGATGTGGGGATGGGACTGGGGCTGGGGCCAGGATCAGACCAGTATCAGGACTGGCAGGGATGGGGCCGCCATTGGGATCAGCACCAGGATGGGCCCAGGGTTGGGATGGGGATGAGGACCAGCACTGGGAATAGTGCCAGGATGGGCCCAGAGCTGGGATGGGAACTGGGATGGGTGTGGGGGTGGAACTGGGATGGAGAGGGAGATGGGGGCCAGGATGGAGATGGGGGCCAGGATGGGGACTGAGGCTGGACCCACAGCACAGCCCGGACCGGCCCCGCCGCTGGGACCAGCGCCAGGACCGGGCTGGCCACCAAGATCGGGGCCGGGATGGGGCCGCCCTCTCCGTACCCGGTGCTCCGGCTCGACCACGGCTCGGTGTGGGGGGGTCCCGATGACGGACAGCCCTCCCCGGGGGTCGCTGCGGTGAGTCGGGGTGCGGGTCCGCTGCCCGCCCACCCCTCAAGGGCATCGCCCTCCCCCCCAGTCCCCGCCGCGTTGCCACGGCGACCCGGTCCCGGAGGACCCCCGTCCGCCCCCCCGCCGCCACCGCGGCCGCTCACGCTGATGCGGACGAGCGCGTCCATGATGGAGGTGAAGGTCTGCAGGTCCTCGCCCTCGGCCATGGCTCCGCTACCCGCGCCCGTGCCTGCGGCGGCGGCAGCGGCGGCCGCGATCGCCCCGGTGTGTTGCAGGGAGCGGCGGAGCCGGGGGGAGGGCGGGGGGCGGCGGCGCGCATGCTCGGCGGCGCCCGCCCCGCCGGCACCGGAGGGCGGTGGAGGCACCGGAGGGGCGGCACCGGTGTGGGGGTGAGGGTGGGGTGGAGCGGGGATGCTCTCGCCGCATCACCGAGCATCCCCCGAGGAGCGACGCTCGGGGAGCGGCGCCGGGGGCGGGCTGCGGGCAGAATGAGCATGGCACCGGTACCGGCGGTGATGCCGGGGGTGCTCCCGAGGGAGTCCCGGTGCCGGTGCCGGTCCCGGTGCGGGGGTCCCGTCCCCGCGCTGTTCCCGTCCCCGCCGCCAGAGGGCGCTCCGGGACTACGCGGACTTGCAGTGCCACTCCCGGGCCGCCAGGGGACGCGCTGGGAGGGGCGGGGCCTCTCGCGCATGCGTAGAGGCGTAGCCCGGCGCTGCTGCCGTGTCTCTGCTGCGCGCTGGGCGGAGCGCGCATGCGCGGAACGGCGGCACCGGGAGCGGCACCGGGACGGGCTGGGGGCACCATGGGTAACGGGGGGCGCACGGGGGGTAACCGGGAACCGGGGTGGGAACAGGGGGTACCGGAGAGAGATAATGGAGGTGTGGTGGGGCAGGAGGGTATTGGGGGCACGGGGATAACGGGGTTAACGGGAACGGGGAGTACCTGGGGGAAAGAATGGAGATATGATGGGCCTGGAGGGTATTGGGGGCACGGGGATAATGGGGTTAACGGGAACAGGGGGCAATGGGGAGAGGGAATGGAGGTGTGATGGGGCAGGAGGGTACTGGGGGCACGGGGATAACGGGGTTAACGGGAGCAGGGGGTACCGGGGAGAGGGAATGGAGGTGTGATGGCACAGGAGGGTACTGGGGGCACGGGGATAACGGGGTTAACGGGAGCAGGGGGCAATGGGGAGAGGGAATGGAGGTGTGATGGGGCAGGAGAGTATTGGGGGCACGGGGATAACGGGGTTAACGGGAGTTGGGGGGTACCGGGGAGAGAGAATGGAGGTGTCACAGGCCAGGACGATATCGGGGGCACGGCGTTAACGGGAGCTGCGCTGGGGGAAGGGGGGCAGGGCAGGGCCCTGAGCTCGGCCCCGGGGCTCAGCCGTAGGCACGGGCACGTCGCTGGCGCTGTCGTCGCTGCTGTCGCTGCTGCTGTTCGCCGGGATGCAGATGTACAGCCGGCAGCTGGCCTCCACCGAGTGGCTCACCATCCAGGGCGGGCTGCTGGGCTCGGCGCTCTTCGTCTGCTCCCTCACGGCATCCCTGGGCACGGCAGAGGGGCCGCAGGGCCCGGGGGGCTGGGAACAGCACCACGGGGGTGGTGGGGGGCAGCCCCCGTAACAGCCCCCTACTGCCAGCCACACTGCACCCCCAAATTAACGGGAACAGGGGGCAATGGGGAGAGGGAATGGAGGTGTGATGGGGCAGGAGGGTACTGGGGGCACGGGGATAACGGGGTTAACGGGAGCAGGGGGCAATGGGGAGAGGGAATGGAGGTGTGATGGGGCAGGAGAGTATTGGGGGCACGGGGATAACGGGGTTAACGGGAGTTGGGGGGTACCGGGGAGAGAGAATGGAGGTGTCACAGGCCAGGACGATATCGGGGGCACGGCGTTAACGGGAGCTGCGCTGGGGGAAGGGGGGCAGGGCAGGGCCCTGAGCTCGGCCCCGGGGCTCAGCCGTAGGCACGGGCACGTCGCTGGCGCTGTCGTCGCTGCTGTCGCTGCTGCTGTTCGCCGGGATGCAGATGTACAGCCGGCAGCTGGCCTCCACCGAGTGGCTCACCATCCAGGGCGGGCTGCTGGGCTCGGCGCTCTTCGTCTGCTCCCTCACGGCATCCCTGGGCACGGCAGAGGGGCCGCAGGGCCCGGGGGGCTGGGAACAGCACCACGGGGGTGGTGGGGGGCAGCCCCCGTAACAGCCCCCTACTGCCAGCCACACTGCACCCCCAAACTGGGCCTGATGCCCTCCCCATCGCCCCCTCCCATAGCCCCCATTGCACCCCCCAACCGGGCCCGATGCCCTCCCCATTGCACCTCCTATAGCCCCCATTACACCTCCAAACTGGCCCCCATTGCACCTCCAAACTGGGCCTGATGCCCTCCCCATTGCACCTCCTATAGCCCCCATTACACCTCCAAACTGGCCCCCATTGCACCTCCAAACTGGGCCTGATGCCCTCCCCATTGCACCCTCCTATAGCCCCCTTGCACCCCCAAACTGTCCCCCATTGCATCCCCAAACTGGGCCTGATGCCCTCCCCATTGCACCCTCCTATAGCCCCCTGCACCCCCCAATGGCACTCACTGCACCCCCAAACTGGTCCCCATTGCACCCCCCTATTACCCCCATTGCACCTCCAAACTGGCCTTGGTTCCCCTCCCCATTGCACCCCTCTATGGTCCCCATTGCACCCCCAAACTGGGCCTGCTGCCCTCCTCATTACACCCCCCCATGGCACTCACTGCACCCCCAAACTGGCCGTGATGCCCTCCCCATTACACACTCCTATGGCACTCACTGCACCCCCAAACTGGCCGCCATTACACCCTCCTATGGCCCCCATTGCACCCCAAACTGGGCCCCATTACACCCCCATGACCCCATTGCACCCCAAACTGGCCCCAACACCTTCCAGGGCGCAGGGAGGGTGGGACATGAGGGCGGCAGGACAGCAGGATCCCGTTGTGTCCCTTAACTCCACACGCAGGCCTTCAACAACCTGGAGAACCTCATCTTTGGGAAGGGCTTCCAGGCCAAGATATTCCCTGAGAGTAAGTGTTGTGGGAGCCCAGGAGGGGAGCGGGGACACTGCGGTGTCCAGAGGGCTGGGGGTGCTCCAGGAGTGGCACTGGTGGTCCCAGCCCTGCCCTGGAACTGTGGCAGCTCCTCTTGAGCTTTTCCTGGGGCTGGGGGAAATCCTGCTGCAGCCAGAGCCCCCCGTGAGCATCGTGTGTCTCCCGGTTCTCTGCAGTCCTCACCTGCCTCTTGCTGGCCCTGTTCGCCTCTGGCCTCATCCACCGGGTCTGTGTCACCACCTGGTAGGTGCAGGGCTGCCCTGGGGGGTGGGAGTGACTGAGGGGACACCGAGGGGTCTGTGTCACCACCTGGTAGGTGCAGGGCTGCCCTGGGGGGTGGGAGAGACTGAGGGGACACCCAGGGGACACCGAGGGGTCTGTGTCACCACCTGGTAGGTGCAGGGCTGCCCTGGGGGGTGAGAGTGGCTGAGGGGACACCCAGGGGTTTGTGGGGACACCTGGTAGGTGCAGGGCTGCCCTGGGGGGTGGGAGTGGCTGAGGGGACACCGAGGGGTCTGTGTCACCACCTGGTAGGTGCAGGGCTGCCCTGGGGGGTGGGAGTGGCTGAGGGGACACCCAGGGGACACCGAGGGGTCTGTGTCAACACCTGGTAGGTGCAGGGCTGCCCTGGGGGGTGGGAGTGACTGAGGGGACACCGAGGGGACACCGAGGGGTCTGTGTCACCACCTGGTAGGTGCAGGGCTGCCCTGGGGCGTGGGAGTGACTGAGGGGACACCGAGGGGTCTGTGTCACCACCTAGTAGGTGCAGGGCTGCCCTGGGGGGTGGGAGTGACTGAGGGGACACCGAGGGATCACAGGGGACACCGGGAGGGGGGCAGGAGGCTGGGCAGGGAGCATCAGGGGGCTGGTGGGAAGGGCAGCACGGTCTGAGGGAGGGTGGTCAGGAAGGGCAGGAGAGGGGGATCCAGGGGAAAGTTATTGGTTTAGGAAGGGCAGGAGAGTGGGATCCAAGGGTAAACTGTTTGGGAAGGGCAGGGGAGGGGGATCCAGGGGGAAAGTGTGGGTTTAGGAAGGGCAGGAGAGTGAGATCCAAGGGGAAATTGTTGGTGTAGGAAGGGCAGCACAGTGGGATCTGAGGGGAAAGTGTTTGGGAAGGGCAGGAGAGTAGGATCCAATGGAAATTGTTGGTTTAAGAAGGGCAGGGGAGTGGGATCCAAGGGAAAATTATTGGTTTAGGAAGGGCAGGGGAGTGGGATCCAATGGAAATTGTTGGTTTAGAAAGGGCAGCACAGTGGGATCAGGGGAAAATTGTTGGTTTAGGAATGGCAGCACAGTGGGATCCAAGGGGAAATTGTTGGTTTAGGAAGGGCAGGGGAGTGGGATCCAAGGGAAAATTGTTTAGGGGAGTGGGATCCAATGGGAATTGTTGGTTTAGGAAAGGCAGCTCAATGGGATCCAACGGGAATTGTTGGTTTATAGGAAGGGTTTATAGGGGAGTGGGAGCCAGGGGCAAGGTGTTGGGGTGAGCCTGGCACATCGCTGCCCCAGCAGCTGAGCGGCCTCTTCCCTTCTGCCCCCGTAGCCTCATCTTCTCCATGGTGGGTCTCTACTACATCAACAAGATCTCCTCCACTCTCTACCAGTCCACAGCGCCCGTCGCTCCCCCTGCCAAGGCTGTTGGCAAGGGCAGGAAGAGAAATTGATGTCCTGCTGCCCCTTCCTGGGGCAGCCCCCTCCCTGCGGCCGATCCGGGACTCCCCCCTGCCCAATAAAGCCATTTCTTTGTAGCTTCTTGTCCCCTGTGCCAGCTGCCAGCCCAGTTCCTGGCCCTGCTGTGTGCCAGGGTGGCTAGAAGTGGCCCTGGAGCCTGGGGTAGGTTCTGGGTTGCCCAGGGGAGGGGAGGGTGGCCAAGGGTGGGAGATGTGCTGCTGGCAACTCGTGTGCCCAGCCCTGCAAGGGAGGAAAATGCCACTGGAGCCAGGCTTGGAGCAGACTGGAGCGGGCAGGGGGCTGTGGGGGTCCAGCCCCAGCTGCTGCGCTGGCACAGCTCAGCCTGCTGCCTTTGGCAGGGCACCACACACTCGTCTGTGCCCTCCGCACTGCACCGGGGGGGCACCGGCGCTGCCCGGCTGGGGAGGGGGGGTGGGAACGGCGCGGTTCCCGCAGCCGTGGGACGGCGGACGGGACTCGCTCCCACGCCGGGTCCCTGGCACCCCTCCGGCCGGACGTGGAGGAAACCAGATGCTTCCTGCGGCCTCGGAGGCGGCCGACAAAGCCCGGCGCTTCCTGCGGCACCGGGAGCGGGGCCGGACCGGGGCTCCCGGGGGGCTCCCGGTGCTGCCGCGCCCCGCCAGCAGGGGGCGCGCTCTGCCATCGCGCAGCAGAACTACAATTCCCGGCAGCCCTCGCGCACGGCGCCGGTGTGACGTCATCGCGGCACCGGGCGGGGAGCGGGACCGGCACCGGGAGCGGGACCGAGGCAGGTGGGGGTGGGGCTAGGCCCGGGCCCGGCCCCGAGTTCGAGTTCGGGTTCGGGTCTGGGTCCGGGTCTGGGTCTGTGGGGAGGGCTCAGTCCGGCGGGTGGAGGCCCAGGGGGAATTGGGGCCACTCTGCCGGGGGAGACTGGGCCCGGTGCGGGGCGCTCCGTCTCTCCCGGTTCCCTCCTCCTTCCTTGTCTCCCCTGTTCCTCTCACGGGTCTCTCACTCTCCCCTTCCCCCTGTCCCCCCAGGCCGCCATGACCAAGCTGGCGCAGTGGCTCTGTGGACTCGCCCTGCTGGGCTCGGCCTGGGCCGCGCTGGCTCTGGCCCCGCCGGGGCTGCAGCCGCCGGCCCCGCTCCGCCAGGCGCTGCTGCCGCTGCCCGTCTACCTGCTCGTGGCCTTCGGCTGCTACTCCCTGGCCACCGTGGGCTACCGCCTGGCCACCTTCAACGACTGCGAGGAGGCGGCGGCCGAGCTGCAGGAGCACATCAGGGCGGCGAGGGCCGACCTGCGGCGGCGGGGGCTGCGCCTCGGAGCGCAATAAAGGCCCTGACGGTGCTGGCCGTGCTGTGTGTGACCCCGGGACACGGCGGGGACAGGGGTGCGGGCACTGCGAGCCTCGGGGGCTGCTGGAAGGCACCTGGAGGAGTCACTTGGTTCTCCCAGGGAATCACTTGGCTCTTGGGGTGTGCGGGTTTGGGGGTTCTGTGAAGGGCAAGGTCTCTGTGAGGGTCCACTGAGAGCCTCGAGTGCTGCTGGAAGGCACCCGGAGGAATGATTTGGTTCTCCCAGGAGAATCACTCAGCTCTGGAATGATTTGGTTCTCCCAGGGGAATCACTCACCTCTGGAGTGATTTGGTTCTCCCAGGGGAATCACTCAGCTCTGGAATGATTTGGTTCTCCCAGGGGAATCACTCGGCTCTGGGTGGTGTGAGGTGGGGGTGCAGGGAGGGTTTGGGGGTTCTGTGAAGGGCAGGGTCTCTGTGAGGGTCCACTGAGAGCTCGGGGGCTGCTGGAAGGCACCTGGAGGAATCACTTGGTTATCCCAGGGAATCACTTGGCTCTAAGTGTGCGGGTTTGGGGGTTCTGTGAAGGGCAGGGTCTCTGTGAGGGTCCACTGAGAGCCTTGAGTGCTGCTGGAAGGCACCTGGAGGAGTCACTTGGTTCTCCCAGGGAATCACTTGGCTCTTGGGGTGTGCGGGTTTGGGGGTTCTGTGAAGGGCAAGGTCTCTGTGAGGGTCCACTGAGAGCTCGGGGGCTGCTGGAAGGCACCCGGAGGAATGATTTGGTTCTCCCAGGAGAATCACTCGGCTCTGGAATGATTTGGTTCTCCCAGGGGAATCACTCACCTCTGGAGTGATTTGGTTCTCCCAGGGGAATCACTCAGCTCTGGAATGATTTGGTTCTCCCAGGGGAATCACTCGGCTCTGGGTGGTGTGAGGTGGGGGTGCAGGGAGGGTTTGGGGGTTCTGTGAAGGGCAGGGTCTCTGTGAGGGTCCACTGGGAGCTCGGGGGCTACTGGAAGGCACCTAGAGGAGTCACTTGGTTCTCCCAGGGGTGGCTTGGCTCTGGGCAGTGAGGTGGGGGTTTGGGGGTTCTGTGAAGGGCAGGGTCTTTATGCCCTGTCCATTGAGAGCCCTGCTGGAAGGCACCTGGAGGAGTCACTTGGTTATCCCGGGGAATCACTCGGCTCTTGGTGTGTGTGGTTTTGGGGGTTCTGCGAAGGGCAGGGTCTTTATGCCCTGTCCATTGAGAGCCCTGCTGGAAGGCACCTGGAGGAGTCCTCGGTTCTCCTGGGGGGTCACTCGGCTCTTGGTGTGTGTGGTTTTGGGGGTTCTGTGAAGGGCAGGGTCCCCATGCAAACCCCCCCCGGAGCCGCTGCTGCCCCTCGCTGAGCTCTCTGGAATTGCTCTGGAGCGGGATGCGGCACCGGGGCCGTGCCCCAGACACATTCCCGGCTCAGATGTGGCTCACCCCCGCAGGTGGGAGCTGCAGGAGCCTCATCCCGTCCCGCTGGCCGAGTTCCCGGCAAGGAGGAGAGGGACTGGTGGGGTGGGGCAGGCGACACAGCCTTTAAATTGCAGCGTGGTGTCCCCCACCGCCCCCCCAGCAGCTCCAGGGGAGCTCCCCCGACTCCTCTGCCCATCCACAGCACCACGCTGGGCTTCACTGGGAAGAGGGAGGGGTGGGGGGCTCTGTCTGGGGACCCCCATTTCTGCTCTCTGACCCCGTGTGCAGGAACCTGCTGCCCTGGACTTTGGGATTTTAATTAGCAGCTGTGTATGCTCTGCAGAAAGGAGCAGTTGGGAGCGGGAGGGAGGACTCGGGTTAATTAGCAGGAGCAGCTAATTAGCTGTTTCCTGAGCAGCAAAGGCTGGTGGGAGCAGAGTGGGAAGCTCGCTGGCACATGAGTGGTTGGGGGGGGGGGGGGGGGGGGGTGTCGCGGCGGTTT